TGCTAGATGTCAATCTGAGACGAGGAATGCGAATTATTGATAAATTAAAAGGGATGTTTTAATTGATCGATTTTAATTAGATCAAAATAATAATTCACGTCGTTAGGTATCGTGATCGAGAACCTGATGGGTCACACACAAAAGGAGAACAAGAAGAATGAGATTCACCAATTAATTAATTAACAAGTGTTGGACAATTAATTAATTGGGTTGCTTGTTAATATGCCCTAATTAATTAATTGGATTAATTAATTCATTGACCGAATTTAATTAATTTGATTAATAAAATATTGAATCGAGTTAAGTTTAAGATACTGGTGAAGCCCACTTTGACTTATATTAATAAGCTATTAGAGTTTCAGAAAAAAAGAAAATAATTCATATTCTTGCTAGCACAAGAAAAGAGAAACCCTAATTCACTCATTCTTGTTCCATGCTTGGATTTCCATTGGACACTCGACAATTGGACAGCTATGGATTGCAGATCATGATTGTTCGTATTCCAAGATCAGCAAAGAGTTTGCAAAATTTACCAGATGTATTATTTTAAATACAGTTTATATCTAAATACAAAGTAGATTCGTTGCGGAAATTGAAAATTTAATTGATTTTTCGCTGTGCATGTTAAGTAAATTCTGAAAGGGTTCATATCCTTTATAATCCCTCATATCGATTTTCAGCTTCTGAACTTCTGATTCGATGAGTGGAACAGTTTTGAGCATGGTTTCTATTAGTTGAATTGGCTGACTTTTAATCCGAAGCATCGTGGGATAGCTCGAACTAGCTAGTACTTTGCTTCTTGCAGACATGCTCTCAACCCTCACCTACACACGGGCAAGAAAAATACAAGAGAATTCTCAGCATATATCTTTTTTACGGAAAAAAAATGCAGAAATAGAACAAGAACTAATGAACCTGGAAGATTCCGAGTTTTCTGTTGTACTCAGACTCGGGCAATGTTAACATGACAGAAAGGTGCAACTTGTGATTATTAGGAATGGGGTGCTGTCCAACGTAGTCTGAAGAGGACATTCTATGTTTTGAACCAACGCTGGAAGGCACATGAGGGACGAGAGACGATGCAATGGGCACAAAAGCAACAGGGCTAGGTTTATTGTAGTCGACATTCTGGATTTCAGTAGTATGCATCGGTTCNACGAGAGACGATGCAATGGGCACAAAAGCATCATGGCTAGGTCTATTGTAGTCGACATACAGGATGTCAGTAGTATGCATCGGTTCTTCTACCAGATTTGTCACTATAAGACTACCTATTACAAACCCTGAGATTAGCAGACCTAGTAGCATGAACAAAACATAGAATGTGAATGAAATGGCCCAACTGAATCTTAATGCCATTTTCAGCACTGATTTTTGCGCGGTAAACTGATTAAATATGAAGGCAATCAAGATCGAGCAGGATGCATTGCAAACTTCCATCAGCCTTTTCTTCAAATTCTCTCTAATCCATGTAAGAGTTTGAAAGGGAAACATCAAGATCATTAGCCAAAAGTTGAATATCAAAATAGGAAAAGCGAAAAATCTCAGGAAGAGATTTAGTTGAAAACCAGCCACTTTGAGCATTAGTACTGCCAAGAAAGCAATGCTTTCTGCAGGAAAATTCATCACTTTCGGCAAATCAACAAGCTCGTTGCTCAATCCAATCGTTCTATCATATGGACTTGAACTTTTGTACTTCCCAGGCACACATTTGCCACCATTTCTTCCGACCTCGGAGTTATTCACTTCACTATCATAACAGGCTTCACAAGTANNNACTATCATAACAGGCTTCACAAGTAGAGCAATCCAACGGTCCAGACAATTTCCGAGCCATTAACAGCTTCTCAGCTCCCAGACGTAATGAATACTTCATCAAGTTGACAATAAAATTTTCATCTTTGCATTTGAATCCAAGAAAATCACTGGAATTTTTGAACAACCCTTTATTCTTTTCCTCAATGTCAACAATAATTCTGTGAAGAATTGAGTCTTCCATTGATGATATTGCAAAGGTTCAGTTCAAGAAATAGTACTGATTTAATTGAAAGAAGAATGACAAGAGAGACTCCTGTGACAATTGGAATTAATGGCAAATAGTCCACTTTATAGGAGGGAAAGTATGAATTGTTAAGACCTT